TAACAGTCGCCGCGGAACCGGTAATGGTCGATCGATCGATATATTAAAAAAAAAAGAAGGAGGAGGAACGCGAGCGCAACCGCGTTAAATTAATGGATCTCTCGTACACGGGGCTCGCCTTAATCGATTGAAATCCGTCCTTTGGGATACGCTCGCGGCGATTAATCCCCCTCTCTCCTCTCCTCCTCCCTCCTTCGTCCGTATTTCGTTAGATGCGATTTTCAAGGGACACCCTGTTCGTGCCTCGTTGAACGTTCTCACCGGATCCGGTTTTCGTTGGAATCACTCTGGAGGATTTTCGTGATTCTCGAGCCAACCCTTTCGAGGTGGATGGTTAAGGCGAGGCGCGCGACCGCGATGATTTATCAATAGGTTTAACGGAGGATTTACAGGAGCGGTAATGAGGGCCTTTTAATCCTCTTACATCGTTTAAGCGTCGTTCCTGCGGAAGTCGCACGAATTCTCGTCCACTCGGTGGCTAACGATACTCCTTTCCCTTACGATTTTCCTCTCCTTACCTGTTTTAATTCATGTAAATCTCTCTCTCTCTCTCCTCGTTCTAACTGTGGTTGGGTTAAATTTTTCTTCTTTGGAGAATTAAAAAAAATTTCTATTCAATTTTATTATTATTACATTCCATATATATATATGGAGAAGGAAGTAAAAAAAGGTGGATAGAAAAGTTGGCTCAACAGCTCGTGACTAATTATTCTTTTAATTGAGGCGGTTTTCGCGTCCACGCGCTTGGAGTGTCGCACGCGTGCAACCGTGTCTGCGGGGTTACGTGGCACGCGACATAAATGCAACGCTGCAAGCAACGCACCGTGCGTGGTGGACTCATGTGCGGTCCTCGGTGTACGCGTTTCTTTATAAAGTCGGGAGAATCGTCCTCCTCCTCCTCCTCCTCCTCCTTCTTTTTCTTCGTTCGTTTCTCTCTCGCAGCGTTTCGTGACCGGCAGGCATTAATTATGTGTCGTGCCCTTTAATACGAATCTGGCTTTATGACGCGAAGGAACGAGAGAGAGAGAGAGAGAGAGAGAGAGAGGGAGCGAGGGAAAAAAGAAGGAAGAAGAGGCGAAGACAAAAGGACGTTCCCGGGGACGGAATTATTTTTTCGCGTCTGGCCACCGGACCATGGAATCCTCTTCTCCCCTCCTCCTCGTCTCTATTTCTCCGCGTGTCTTCTATTTCGCCGGAACGATATTTATTCGGCGTTCTCTGACGAGGGTCCAGCTGTTTTCGTCCATCCATGATTTCTGTGAAACGACGAGAGTTTGATTGCGGTCCGGTTGACTGATTGGACGGTCCCGGCCTCGGACGTCGAGTCACGCTTGCGAAAAATATTCGCGAATATTCCAGCTCCTCCGCTCGATTCGCCCTGGATGCTGTAACGATCTCTTTCTCTCTCTCTCTCTCTTTCTCTCCTTTTTCCCCCTCTCTCTCTCTTTTCTTTTTTTTCTTTTTTTTCACCACGAAAAAAAGCCAGCCGC